TAAGGATTTGACTGAGCCGCCGACAGGCACGGTGCCGCGGCCCATCCAGCACCGTATCGAGATAGAGCCTGGCAGTAGAACTCCTAAGGGTGCCGTGTATAGGATGTCCCCGCGGGAGTTAGAGGAGCTTCGCAAGCAATTAGACGAGCTCCTCGAGAAGGGTTGGATTAGGCCCAGTTCGTCTCCTTTCGGAGCGCCTGTTCTCTTTGTTCCTAAGAAAGAGGGAGACCTGAGAATGTGCATAGACTATAGGGGTCTGAATGCTATTACAGTAAAGAATGATGAGCCACTGCCTAGGATCGACGATCTCTTAGACCGAGTGCAGGGGGCTAAGTATTTCTCTAAGATAGACTTAAAGTCCGGATATCATCAGATAGAGGTACACCCTGATGATCAGTATAAGACAGCCTTCCGGACTAGGTACGGGCATTATGAGTTTATAGTGATGCCCTTTGGATTAACCAATGCGCCAGCAACTTTTCAGCGGTGTATGAATGATTTGTTTAGGCCGTGGTTAGACAGATTCGTTGTAGTTTATCTAGATGACATCCTAGTGTTTAGTAAGACCCTCGAAGAGCATCAGGGTCATCTCAGGCAAGTCTTGGAGAAGCTGAGAGAAGCTAACTTCACGATCAATGCAAAAAAGTGCGATTGGGCGAAGACCCAAGTTTTGTATCTAGGCCACGTCTTAGACAGAGACGGCGTTAAGCCAGAAGATAGCAAGATCGCAGCGATTAGAGATTGGCCCACGCCACGTACGCTGACAGAGTTGCGCTCGTTCCTAGGCTTAGCGAATTACTACAGGAAGTTCGTAAGGAACTTCTCCACCATCGCTGCGCCCCTTCGCAGATTGCTGAGAAAAGGATTGCTGAGAAAAGAGACAATCTGGAAGTGGGACAAGGACTGCACGTTCGCCATGAAGAAGCTAAAGCAGGCGTTGATAGAGTATCCGGTCCTTAAGGTCACCGATCCGTCCTTGCCTTTTGTTGTTACTACGGATGCTAGCCAGTACGGCATAGGCGCAGTGTTACAGCAAGACGATGGCAATGGCTATAGACCCGTAGAGTTCATGTCCGCTAGGATGCCTTCAAAGAAGGTTGCGACATCTACCTATGAGAGGGAACTCTATGCTCTCAGGCAAGCATTAGACCACTGGAAGCACTACTTACTTGGGAGGCACTTCAAAGTCTATTCGGACCATGAAACGTTACGGTGGTTAAAGACCCATGCCAAGATGACACCTAAGTTTACTAGGTGGGCCGCAGAGATAGATCAGTACGACTTCAAGCTCAAGCCTGTCAAAGGGAAGTACAATGTAGTCGCGGATGCTTTGAGTAGAATAGCTGATTACTTTGGGGCAATAATACTTTACCTCGATATAGGAAAGGATCTGCAGCAGAAGGTTAGAGAAGCCTACGCGCAGGACCCTATCTATAGTGAGCTCCTCACGCGAGTCAAGGAGGCCCCAGAGATCGAGCCGAACTACTGCACTACTGGAGGGTTACTCTTCGAGAAGACTAATGTCTTTGACCGGTTGTGCATCCCCAATAGTGAAGAGATCCGTAGTCTGATTATGGGGGAATGTCACGACACAGAGGGTCATTTCGGTTGGCAAAAGACTTTGGCCAATCTGATGCGCGCGTATACCTGGCCAGGGATGAAGAATGACTGCGTAGAGTATGTTCGCAGTTGCAAAGTCTGCCAGCGTAATAAGAGTTCTACGCGCGTCCCGCTAGGTCTTCTCAGACCCTTGCCCATTCCGGATCAGCCGGGAGACTCAGTGTCAATAGATTTCATGGACACTCAAGTCAAGAGCAGGCATGGCAAGAGCCAAGTCATGGTCATAGTTGACCGCTTTAGCAAGTACGCAGTTTTTGTTCCTTYGCCTTCTGAGGCGCGTACTGATTTAGTCATACAGAGGTTCTTTGACTGTTGGGTTAGTGAGAACGGAATCCCGCTGTCTATAGTTAGCGATAAAGATACAGTCGCTTTACTAGCCAGAACTGGCAAGAACTCATGGGAGTATACGGATCTAAGTTGTTGATGTCGTCCGGCCGCCATCCAGAGACTAACGGTCAGACAGAGCAAATGAACAAGATCCTACAGCAAGTTCTGCACATGTATATTAGACCAGATCAGATTAACTGGGATGAGATGTTGCTTGAAGTAGCTAGTGCGTACAATAACAGCGTGCATCTAGCCACCTGTCGCACTCCCAACGAACTGCACAAGTCCTTTAGACCGCGCAGACCGTTTGAGGGACTCAACCGGGATCAGATTCAGAGATTGCCGCCCGGGACCCGGGAGTTCGCTGTACAGCACGAGAAAGAACTAGCTATTGTTGTAGAAAACCTCAGGAAAGCCCAGCATAGGATGATAGAACAAGCAAACAAACATCGTCGCCCTTCACAGTTTCAAGTAGGCGAYTTAGTCTGGGTTAGTTCGAAAGAGTTTGCACCTGAGGAGAACATCTCGCAGAAGTTACTGCCCACATATAGAGGACCTTGGCCTGTTCTTGAAGTCAAGGGCGGTGAAGATGGACCGTCCTATTCAATAGAACTACCAGCACACCTCCACACATATCCAGTTTTCCACGCATCGAAGTTGCTACCTTGTCAAACAAGTGATCAGTTTCCATCCCGTAGATCAATGATCCCACCTGATATGGATGAAAGGTATGACATAGACGGTATAGTGGCTGAGGATGTCTTCAGAACCGGAGGTAGGGGTCGTCCGCAAAAACAGTACAAGGTTCATTTTAGTTATCAAGAACCGGAAGACGACCGCTGGTTTACAAGATCTGAACTTCTAGAGACAGCTCCCGATATAGTCCGGGCTGAAAGACAGCAGAAGGGTAAAGGTCCTGCCTTGGACTGAAATTTTCTCGGAGGACCTCGAATTTAGGCCGGCGGGAGTGAAACGGTATTCACCACATCGCAGAAGCAAATGTAGATGCCAGGGCTTGATCCCTAGTTCCCCATCTTACCTATGTACAGTATTGATGACAACCCGTAGATTTGAACCTGCGACCTGTCGAAACGCCAGTGGTAGGTAGATTGTCGTAGGTCACAGCTTAGAAGGGAATCRAACTGTAGAYCTGTAGGGTAGGAGTCTAGACAGTKCCGAAGTCGTAGCTGTAGGATGTCTGAAGGGTCAAGGTAGTAGCTGCTACTTACCTGAAAGGGCAAAGTCGTAGCTGCTACAGTACCGAAAGGCCAAAGTAGAAGTTTCTAGAACTGGCCTTTCGGAGTCAGCCCCTGTTTAGGCCGAGGCAAGTGGGCAAGTGGTGTAGGTCCACTACGTAGAGTYAGCAGTCCCAGGTAGCCCAGTCYGGTCCAGTCAAGCAAGTACCGTCTGGGACTGTGCACATCGCGGGCCAAGGGATACAGGGCAGRCCAACGCCGCACAGAAGTATAARTCAAGAGGCTGCGTCCARCCATTCATTCATTCCTGCGGATGCCATGCGGAAGCGCTGCCTCAGCAGCTTGTGCGAGRAGGTCTGCAGTGCGCCCGAAGACGAAGAGGGCAGTGAAGTGTAGTGTAGCGATAGGATAGTGGCAGCCATAGCTGCCATAGCTATAGTAGCGTGTGTGTGTGTGTGTGTGTGTGTGTGTGTGTGTGTGTTGCGTGTAGAGTGTTGCGTGTGGGACATCCAGGGTAATCCAGAGTGCGAACAGTGAGTTGTGTGGGCGCTCAGTCGCCATAGCCAGTTTGAAGGGAACTCCCACCTGGTTACGATATCTTTGAGTACTGTGTGGGCGCGTGTCGCTAGTTTGCTGTTTCGCTGTTTGCATGCATGACAAGTGTGAAGAAGTCGAGTCTGATTGCATTTTAATTCGTGATTAGGTTTAAATCAGTACTCTGTGTAAATCGGCATTCTGATTTCAATCCTGTATTTCGTTTTCTAAATCGGCATTTCCGTTGTATTTCGGTATTAGCAATTAGGGTTACGGCAAATTTCGGTTTTGAGCAATTTGGGAAATACGAACGTTCTGGAAACCATAAAACCGGAAATTCCGCGGAAACGCGGAAAATTAGGGTTGGGCTCCGAAATTTTCGCGATTTTTTTTTTCTTTCCCTAGTTTGAAAAATTTCGAAAACGGACTTAGGCCTTTAAAAATTGGATTTTGTAGGTCGAAATTCTCAAAATTTTACGTTTTGTGAAAATTCGAGTGTTTTTCTTCCAAATGTTCCGAATTTTTTTTTTGGCAAGTTGTCCGTAACTGTTTCCCCAGAATCGCAACTTACGGGAAGTTCACTATTGAACGGTGAACTCCCGGACTATAGATGATCTCAACAGGTACCTAATCTTGTCATCACTTAAAAATTCGTTAATTATCATTATCACATTATTGTTTTATTGATTATTATTAAGAATTATTAATTTGTTATTAATCATTAATTAAACTTTATTGATTATTAATTTGTTATTATTTTTTTATTACGAATTTTTGAGTTGTTTTCAGGGAAAGTTTATCTTTTTGCTGTTTGATTAGGTGTATAAGTCCATCCTTGGGACAGGGACTGTATGCGAATTGTTTGATTGTTCTACCCCTGTTCCCACTCTCCCTACCCTCCCCGTACTCTGTGACCACCGGAACTTCTCAAGTACCACATCAGCGTGTGCTGATGTCGACGGAACGGGACACCGGGGCACTGCCACGACGCAGTGCCAGGCTCGCAGTTCGTAGCCGTTCTGTGGTACCTCCACGACCGAAGTATCAGCAACAGCGACTCAGCAAGCGGACGACTCCAGCGGCATCAAGTACAGCTACGGCAGTACCAGTTACCACCGGGGCTCTTCCCGCATGTCCGGTCCAAGGGGCCAATGAGCCGTTGGCTGCTTACCTTCAGCGAGTACAGGCATTTACGGATGCCGTAGCTACCGCAAAGGCACAACAGGAGGCAACAGAGGCGGAACGTCAGCGGCTGGCCAGTGAGGCGGCAGCCCAAGCTCAGCGGATTGCTGAGGCTGACACCGTGGAGACAAGCGGAACGCCATCAGCATGGAGTCCTTGACTCAGAATGAGAGTCACTGGATGACACTGCTCCAAGGCAGGCTGTTTGTGCCGTCGGATACACAGGCGGATCCGACACCGGCGGAGGAAGAAAGGAGTAACCTGGCAGACCTGATGCTGAACATGATGCGGGCGGTAATGTGGACCAATACGATGTTAACGGTGCAGATACACGAGGGCAGATAGCTGCGACAGACTCAGCAGAAAGATGCTGCAGCCTTAACAACCGCTGTTCGCGCTGCCGCCACACATCAGCAACAACAACAACAACTGTTGAGCACCACCACCGAACGCGTCAACAGCATCGAGGCTAAGGCCTCAGCAGCGCCAGGCTGCACGACTGACACGGCGAAACAGCTCAACGAGCGCATCGACCATGTCGTCAGTTTAATCGGCGAACTATGTGATTTCACCAGTCCGACTACGATCAGCAGCACGGTGGCCGCCATCAAGACGGACATCACCAAGCTGCAGTCGCAACCGGCAACAGCTGCGAAGGTATACAAGATGCCACGCTTCAACATCGGCAAGTTCAAGGACTACAACAAGACCGACGCTTTGACATGGTGGCAAGCCTTCCTCACGGAAGCGTCCTGCCACAAGGTCCCAACCGAAGACATGATGAAGGCAATATACCTCCAACTCATTGGAGGTGCGCAGGTATGGATGAACCACCTCGCAGTTAACAAGAAAACCACTATCGCCGAGCTACACAAACACCTCTTGGACGAGTATAGAGACGTCTTCGAGGCTCCCAYCGGAACGGTTCCGGATCGGCCCATACGTCACGGGATCACTCTCGAGGCTGGTGCCGTCCCTCCGCGTGGATGTATTTACCGCATGAGCGAAGAGGAACTCGAGGTGCTTCACGCACAACTCGATGACCTTCTCGACAAGGGCTGGATTCGCCCTAGTTGTTCGCCTTACGGTGCCCCTGTTCTCTTTGTCTGGAAGAAGAACAAAGATCTACGGTTATGCATTGATTATCGGAAACTAAACGCACAAACTCTAAAGAACGCCGGCCCTCTCCCTCGGATTGATGATCTCCTCGAGCGGCAAGGCGGCACGACATACTTCTCGAAGTTGGACTTGAAGTCGGGTTACCACCTGATTGAAATCCAGCCTTAAGATCGGTACAAAACCTCGTTCAAGACACAGTACGGGCATTTTGAGTGGGTTGTCATGCAATTTGGCCTCACCAATGCCCCCACGACTTTCCAAGCAGCTATGATGACTAAGTTTTGCGACTTGCTCGATCGCAGCGTCTTCATCTACCTCGATGACATCTTGGTTTATAGCAGGACGTTGGACGAGCACATCGTACACCTTCGCGTTGTTTTGGATCGTTTGCGAGTGGCCAAGTACAAAGCGAATCTCGACAAGTGCGAGTTCGCCAAGCAGGAGCTTGAGTACTTGGGTGACTATGTTACGCCGAAAGGCATTCGTCCCTTAGCGGACAAGATCCAAGCCATCGTGGATTGGCTGGAACCCCGTTGCACGACGGATGTACGCTCTTTCATGGGTTTGGCTGGATATTATCAGCGATTCGTCGAGTCATACTCGAAAGTGGCCACCCCTTCGTCGAGACTTCAGTCCCCAACGGTGCCCTTCGAGTTCGACGACGCAGCCCGTGGCGCGTTGACTACGTTGAAGGCAGTGATGCAAGCCGCACCTGCCCTCCGTATATACGACCCCACCCTTCCCACCCAAGTGACTACGGACGCTTCGGGATACGGTATTGGTGCGGTGTTGGAACAGTGTCACGAGGACGGTTGGCATCTGGTCGAGTACTTCTCCCAAAAGGTGCCTCTCGTCAACACTATCGACGACGCTAGGAAGAAAGAGCTACTCGCGTTCGTCACCGTTCTCAAACGGTGTTGCCACTTTCTTCTCGGTCGTCGACGTTCTAAATGGAATACGGACAACAATCCGTTGACCTTCTATAAAACGCAGGATACGGTCACTAGCACGATCGGTGGATGGATGTAATACATCGACCAGTTCGACTTTGACCCGTGTCACATTCCCGGTCCCGCCAATCGAGCTGCGGACGCCCTCTCACGACGGCCCGATTTTTGTGCCATTGTGACCACGGCAGTCGACCTCGATGACGATCTGCAGCCGCATTTCGTCAAAGGCTACAAGTGCGATCCGACTTACTCCACGCTTTACGCGGAGCTTTCATCGGATCACCCGCCGGCTAGCCACTATCGGATTTCCGACGGGTTCCCCCTTCTTCACACGAGAGGAAAGGACTTGTTAGTTGTGCCCCAAGATCGCATCTTACGGACTCGTCTTCTCGGCGAATTCCACGACGCACGACTTTCGACACACCTTGGCGTAAACCGCACATTAGCACGCCTCCGCCAGCGTTTTCACTGGCCTGACGTCCTTCATGACGTCACTAGGTAGATTGAGTCATGTGCAGTTTGCCACCGTAACAAGGGTCGATCTCGAGTCCCCTTCGGCGAACTGAAACCGTTGCCGATTCCTCGGGCACCGCGCCTCTCCATTGCTATGGACGTGACAGGCCCGTTCCCCCGCGATCGCCTCGGCCGTGACGGTATTCTCACGGTCGTTGACCGTTTGAGCAAGTATGCTCGCTTCCTTCCTTGCAAGTATCATGCTGCAGCGCCTGAGCTCGCACGACTCTTGGATTACCAACCAGGGTGTTCTGGAAGACATAGTGAGCCACCGAGATACTCGCTTCATGTCAGCCTTTTGGACTTCCCTTATGGCTGAGTCCGGCACGACAATGAAGCCGAGCTCGGCTCGGCACCCGCAGACGGATGGCCAGACGGAGCGAGTGCACCAGACCGCTCAGATGATGTTGCGTACGCTCATCCGTCCCGACCAGAAAGATTGGGTTGACCGGCTTCCCAACATCGAGTTCGCCTATAACACTTCGGTGCACCCGGCGATCTGCGTCACACCATTCGAGCTACATCATGGTGGAGAGAAAGCATGGATCTTCGCTGATCTCCTTCTGCCACAGGCCGCCGACATAGACGACCCTTGCTCTCCCGCTTCCGTTCGGAAGTACCGGGACTTGCTGATCAAAGCCTGCGCGAATATGCGCGAATATGCAAAAGGCTCAAATCCGCATGTAGCAGCAAGCTAACCGACGTCGACTTCCATGTCCTTTCCGCGAGGGAGACCTTGTTTGGGTCCTCTCCGAGGAATTTGCGCTCGAACAGGACGTTTCGCGCAAACTCCTTCCGAAATGGTTCGGACCATGGGAAGTTACGTCTGCCGTTGGAGACGACCCCGCAGGTCCTTCCTTTGTGGTCAACATTCCACCGCACCTTACAGTGCACCGGGTCTTCCACGCGTCAAAGCTGGCCATCTACACGCCACTTCCCGCGGACGAGTTTCCCGGCCGTCGATCACAGGATCCGCCTTCTATGGACGAACATCAGGAAGTGGACCAAGTCATCACGCACCGCAAGTATGGCAACAAGCCAATGCAGTTCAAAGTCACATTCAAGCAATGTGCGCCTGACGACACTCGGTGGATCTCTAGTGCAGACTTGCAGACTTCTGCACCCCTTATCTTCGCCGACTATGAGAAGCGACGCCTTGCCAAGGAAGCAGCTCGTCCCGCCCGACCCGCCCCGGTATCGGACAGACAACTCCGCCCTCGCAGGTAGCTCGGTCTTTTAAGAGGGGGAGTGTGTTACATCTTCGACGCCACACGGGCCCTACCGGACCCGACTTAGGGCTAGAGGGACACAGCAGGGCCTAAAGACCAGACTTGGGGTACAGCAGGCTGTAAAGGCCATGTTTTTGGACCAGACCGACGGGCAGGCCCAAACGACATTCTCGTTTTGGGCCTGGCGGTGCTTTTGAGCCTGCCGCCCACCGATCTGATCTGAACCGTCGATCTCGACGGTTCAGGTCACAGCCAGGCCTCGCAGCATTGAGGCCGGCCTCTTGGCCACCGGTACTTATACCGGTTCCAGCCTCATTGTGAGGCATCGAGCCACTGGCATGCTGCATCAGCGCCAGTGCGTATCGGTTGAGGAGCAGCGCTATTCTTAGCGCAGGAGCAGCAGCAGCAGCAGCGTGAGCTAGCGCCGCAGCAGCGCCGAGTGAGGAGCCACACAGCGGACAGCCATAGCCGACTTCGGTTACCGGCAGTTACGGCAGCCCAGGTACTCGGAGGCAAGGTCTTCTCCTCCCTCCACGGTCCCTGGTTCCTCTCCTCCTCAACTCCCTCCTCCTCTGTTTCTCTTCTTCTCCATCTCTTCTTCTTCTTCTCCATCTCTTCTTCTTCTTCAGACTTCTTCTCCATCTTCTTCCGACTGGAGACTTGATACTAGTTGGACAGAGATCAGTGTTGGACTTCGGTGGTAAGAGGCTGTGGTACTTACCGGGTTCGAGACTTGGAGATTGTTGGGGATGATACTCGGCTGCATCACAGATTGGACACCGGTTACATTAGGACTCTRTATCTCCGGCATTGGTGACTTATTGTCCACGACATTTGATCTTGTTCGATGACATTTTGGACTACCATATCGGTGACCTACTGGTTTCTATCTCGGTGACATCTGGTGCTACCTACATCTCCCAMCTCCTTCGTCTCTCCTCCCACCTCTMATCTGTGTATGTTTGTACGRGSCCTGAGCATCGTCTGTGCTTGGCTCAGACCCCAACATCTCACGATTGTTTGTGTGTGGAGTGATATCTGTGTGAGTCAGTCTATGTGAGTCAGTCCATTATCAGACTTCCGCTGCATACATGCTCATCCTATATTGGTTGATCTTTGGTTCTGCCCCATACTCGTTGAAGTATTCACGAGTATACAACATCTACTCACAAAATGTGCGAAATGAGAATGAATCTTCCACTAGAACATGGAAATATACACTACCATATTTTTAGTCTTTTGATGTCTTGAGTAATGAGCAAGGCCACATCGCGCCTGCACAAGCATGATGCACGTCAATCACCACACACACACACACACACACACACACACACACACACACACACACACACACACACACACACACA